ATACTGAAGATACCTTTTTATCGACCTGCATCCAGGGGTGTACAAGCAGAATTTCGCGGGGGGGGGGGGGGGCGTCGTTCCTTTGTCCTGTAATGTTTCATGTGCTTGTAGTTGCTAACACACATTTCGCGACGTTTTGTGAGAATTGCTCTTCATTAGTTCATACCTTTAGAAGACGTGATACCTTGAATAGAAAGAAAGAGAGAGAGGGGAGGGAGAGAGAGAGAAAGAGGGAGAGAGAGAGAGAGAGAGAGAGAGTGGGGGGGGGGGTGGGAAAAATAGAAATAGAGAGATGTATTATTGAAACATTCAGAGGCGAAGGATTTAGTCCAGGAGTGGAGAGGAGCTGATTTGATTAATCCAGAAAGACAATCGGAAGATTGAGATAAATTGGATTGGTGACAGGATCCACTGCAAGATAAAAACACAACAACTGGAGGCCATGACCATGAATAAACCGCAGACCTTGCAGCAAAAATTGCCTCGTACATCTCCCAGGGTCACGGGGCGCCCCAGGTCAATTTTGGGTAGTTTCTAAGAGGGAGGGAGTGGCTGCCGTTTTCAAATTTACCGGCAAGTGTAAAAGCAGGTCCGCATATTTTCAGGCAGGACTTCAGAGAGTCTTAACGAATAAATAGAAAAGCAGGGTCTCGCAATTTCAAGGCGTTAAATACGATGCATAACTTTCCGACAGAACGTAATGTTTAGGTAGTAATAATAAATGCCCTAGTCTTGGTTTCTAGAGAGAGAGATGTTTAGGCACATTAGCAGGGGCGGTGATTTCTTTTCATGACCGGGGATGGGGGGGGGGGGGGACGAAATGTGAGGGACGAGGGAGCAAAGTGAACGAAAGGGGCGAAGGTGACGGAAGTGAGTTACGAGATACCAACGGAATACAGATTTCCTACAATATTTACTGGTACATTTTGAAGGATATTATGCGAAGTAGCGTAGAGACGAAGCGAAAAGATTTTTGGATTTTTATTAGTCTAAACGCTGCACTCTGGGGCCCTCCAGAGCCTAAAAGTGTGGTGCAGTCTTTAGTCAGTATTTGCTATACATTTAAGTGTGTGCACTTTTTCATATTTTCTTGGGGGGGGGGGACGATCGCCCATAAAGAAAATTGAGGGGGAACGTGTGCCCCTCGTCCCACCCGGATCGCCGCCCTTGTACATTACACATGTTAGAGAAGTTGGGGCATTGGGTTCGGCTGGTCATTGTATTTGTTTACAACACAGGGCTTGTTCAATCTTAGATAATACTAATTCTCGTCGGTTACTTGACACGTCAGTTTCATTTCGTTTTTATATTTCCTAATCAAACCTAGATACGCAATGTGTGCATACGAATTAAACCAATTAATTGGTTGCACTGTTTAATTCATCGTTTTCACGTTTCAAATTGGCGCGTCATATACCAAAATGCGTCAGCGACTCAGGCGGTCTCTGACGCGCCTTGTGAGGTTGTTATCATGCAAAACGTGATTGCTAAACCGACCGTGCACGCTACACATCGTGTTACATTACTAGCGTGTGCGTCTATTATTGCTGTCACTTGCATGTTTTTGCAACCGTGATAGGCCTACTCCACTATACAATATACATGTTACCTCATAACGGGCAAGTTAGGTGCCATCTTATAAGGACAGTGACAAATCTAATCAAAATCAAAATACAGAATTATTTCTTCAAGCTTTCTGTGTCTTGCGTCAAAAAAAGCTGCCATGTTTCTGTGCGCCTCACATCTATCTCCACTGACTAGGAAACTAATAAGGCTATCTCTGAATGCACCCAATCCGTACTAAAGTAGTCCTGGTGTAAGAGAATGATGTCATCCTCGTAGGCAGAATCTCACAACTTATTAATAACTAGATACCTTAAAATCTGATCGAAATGTTTTGTAAAGAGCACATTAACGATCATGATCGCATTAGTATACCTGTTGAACATGTTTAAAGTGTCGGGAATCTCAACCTATATCTTTATGGGGAGTTTTCATAGACATAGGGCCCGTTGCACATGAGGCGTCTTTGCACTGACGGAGGACTGCGTCACCGACTGACGTAAGGCTGCGTCAATGACTGACGCAGTCGCCTTCAACGCGTTATGCGAGAGTGCTAATACCATGAAACCAGGGTGAATGCTACATGACCAAATCAAGCATTGGGTTGACGTACTTGTGCATGAACTAATTTCCTTGACATGGGTTCTTTAAGCGCAGGTAATGACGCAGTCGCAATAACGTCTGGTGTACAACGGGCTTAGCCCCTTGATTACTGAATTATTTAATCCCCATAGACGTAATGCAGGGAACACCAGGTTCCAGTAGGCAATGGGTTAAGATTGAACACAGAAAGCTTCGCAAATCAAATTACCATTTACTGGTCTATACAAACCGTGAATTGCACGATAAACCGTTTAGAGTTAAATTTAGCCCATTAAAAAAAAATGCTTGTATCTTTTGCTTCACTTTTCAAACAGAAGTGAACATACCTTTAACATTTTAATAAGCCTCATGAGCCTCTCCTAATCTACCACACGATCTGGAGCCACTGAAATATCAAACCAAAGGTGAATACAAAATTGTCAGTATTCCGAGAAAATGTTGCAACTTCCCGAGATAATCCGAAGCTATAATGAAAATGCTCTCGTCTGTCATGGACTAATGCATATAGAATCCATCTTTGTCATGAATGCATAAACGCACTCAATTTAAGGGGCCATATTGCAAAAGGAAAGGATTGACTTGGCAAAAATTTCTCGATGTTCAAGATAAAAGAGATACGTCGCCATATGTTTTGTTATTATCAAGCTGTTGGAAAAGTGAAATGGTAGCCGGCATCAGTCGTTTTTGTAGGCATAAAAGACACGGGAGCAAAGTTGCCAAATCGAATGACAAGAAAAGAAGAAGAAGAAAAGAAGGAGAAGAAGAAGAAGAAGGAAAAGAAGGAAAGTAAGAAGAAGAATAAACAAAAAGAAAGAGAAGAACGATAGAGAGAAATAGGATTCATAAGAACAGAGAGAAAGAGAGAAATTTAGAGAGAAACATACACAACACACCCACCCATATGCACACACACATACACAAACGCACACACACACACACACACACACACCCACACACAACACTTACACACGCACACACACACACGACGCACACACGCACACATACAAAAATGTATATCATTGTATTACAAAATTCATATTGATTTTAAATGTACAATGCATTCCCAGATATGCTTTTGACCATGAAACTATTTTACCTTTTTCTGTATTGTATTCCCCCCCACCTTCAATTTCAACATCTGCCAATCGATGCCAGATATGATGATAAAAGTTTTGAATGTCGGCAACTGTAGACGGAAGATGGAAGACGTTTATATTCGGTTAAGATATAAGAAACTTTGGTAATGGTAATATTCAAAAGTAATGTACATGTCACAAATATATTTCAACCTCTGTAAACTGCCATGTGGATGCAATAGAGAATAACCCAAATTAACTTATAATAAGACAAAGGTTCTATCAATGATGAAGCGATTTCGTATATTGTATGTATTTTGTATGTTGTGTGAAAGAGATAATGACTGGCTCTCAGAAGAAACATCTCACATTGAAAAGAAAAACGTGTATTCATCCGGTCCATTTCCTTTTCTAATTGATGTGATAAACATCAGCAAGACGTAACTAACGTTTGTCGTGTACTCGTATGATGTTGTTCTCTCTCTCTCTCTCTCTCTCTCTCACTGAAGCATTTTTTCTTCATTAAAAAAAAATCATGTCTACTGTTAATTCACAATATTAACAGTTTCATGTTTTATATCTGTTGATGATTACGAACGTCCTTGAATTCATTATCATCATCATTAACAGAACATATTGTGATACAGGTATAGACATTAATATAGTTTCTGAAGATGTTTGTATTTAACTGAACATAAAGATATAGATCTCCCTGCCTCATCTCTCTCTCTCTCTCTCTCTCTCTCTCTATCTCTCTCCCTCTCTCTCTCTCTCTCTCTCTCTCTCTCTCTCTCGTATACTATACAGGGCGTATCATAATAAAGGATATTGAAGTTTAATGACGATTTATATGAAAACTACTGATTTCATAATCAAGCATTTTATGTCTGTTGTAAAGGACAGAATGTCCTTTTGTTAATGACACCCCGATCATACTACTACTGTCACAGTTGACTGAATAACAAAGCATTGCTGTCCACCATGTGAAAGGTGCACTGTGCCAAGTTTGATAACATTTCCTTCTTAGACACATAATCCACTCATTGTTCAGCATTTCAATATGTCTGGGCTGACACAAGCACTAATCTTTAGAATAATGTGAATGCTAACTTGTCACAGTGCACCTTTCACATGGTGGACAGCAATGCTTTGTTATTCAGTCAACTGTGACAGTAGTAGTATGATCGGGGTGTCATTAACAAGAGGACATTCTGTCCTTTACAACAGACATAAAATGCTTGATTATGAAATCAGTAGTTTTCATATAAATCGTCATTAAACTTCAATATCCTTTATTATGATACGCCCTGTATACAGACTTGCATCGATCTCTATTTTTCTCTATGTATATGCCTGCTCCATGTCTACTCTCTCTCTCTCTCTCTCTCCCTCTCTCTCTCCCTCTCTCTCTCTTGTATCCTCTTCTATACACGCGTTCTACAATCTCCCTCTCTCTCTCTCTCTACCTCTCTGACATGCCTGCTCCCTGTCTATCTCCCCCCCTCTCTCTCCTGTATCTCTCTCTCTCTCTTTCTCTCTCTCCCTTCTATTTTACATAGTTTTTTTTTGTGCAATTGGACAACTTTTTAAGAAACTGGTGTGTAAAATATATGACAATACTAACAGGATATATGTATACAAAATTTTGAGGGAGGCCTATTTTCCAGGGCCTTACATAATTAGTGAGACCGTTTGTGCACAATGTGTCAGAGAATAAAGCAGCTGATTGAAACAAATGACAATTTGCAATCGGAATATACTGTTTAGATCATCGATTTATATTAATGTATACACCTCAATGGTTTCCTCTGCACGTTTTTTCTTAAATTATGAAGCACATGTACAAGACTGTACTCTTTAATGCATTATATCAAAACAATCCAATTTCCAGTGAATTGACTAACCGTCAACACAAAAATATATGGGCTACATGTAGGCATAGTGATACATTACTTTTGAAACAAGATTCAAATTGTATTATATATATATATATTTATTCAATTTTTATATTTTAGAGGCAAAGTTATGAATTCGTTGGGGTTAGGGTTAAGGTCAATGATGACTGATCACCGATGATTTTTTTTTTGGTTCTCGCATCAGTTTGACAAAAGTCTCAACAAACAGAGAAGACGTCTGACAAGATCCAGCTGGTATGCTTTCCGATCTTCTCGATGCTGCTATTACTCTGCAGTTGAAATAAAAAAAGGGAAAATATAAAGATTTGTTCAATATGTAGATTTTTCTAAGGTATTTTTTGCTGTATACTTACAATGTGCATCCACCGATTGTATTTCAAAAACAGTATTGTTATTAAATATGGTGTGATCCTGCTAGCGGGGTAATAAAGAGGTGTATATGTGCACTCTTAAAGCAGTGTAGAGTTGGATAATATTTTGCACATTAGAGGGAAAAATGGTAAAATGCATGTTTGTTGGATGAAATGTACCCAACCTTGGTTAAACAATAACCAGTATTGGTAAAATCTTACCCAACAAACATGCATGGTTCCTTTTCCCCCACCTTATGTGTACAATTTCACTCTATCCATTTAACATTATGAAGAATATGGGGAAAATATGGATCGGATAATTCTCTCAAATATGAGTAACTTGAGTTAATCAGAAATGAATCCTAAAACAGAGGAAGTTACCATGTCGTGCAGCTTAGTTGTTTAATCATTGTATTGTGAAAATCATCAATTAAATGGCAACGATGGTTGTTCGAGCCTGGCTTGTAGGAAAAAAACATGCCTTTGCCTCTTCATAATGTTGTTTTTTTTCGATCGAAATTATATGCACAGTTAAAAGCAACCTTGTGTCATGATTGTGGAGTACTCGTTTGATGTCTTTACAACAACACACTCATTTAAAATTACAATGCTGGTGTTCATGACCATCGTAAATATTACCAATAAAATTGTTTATGTCTGTACTGCACTTCTACGAGTCATATATCAGCGTTAAAAATGGCATTGATCATTTTGAGGCTGGTAACAGAGGTGGTAAAGATAACAGCGAAAGAAATATATCTTGCCGACTTTTCGAGTTTGTCTTCCTATGTGATAGAGGTGTGGAATCGAAAAGTTGAGAGGTAGATTATCATCATTCATAGGAGGAGCATTCTATTTCGTATGCATTTTTCTGTAGATTTGGAAAAATTATTCATGCTTGACTTACAAGAAATATGTCGTTTTCTCGGGGCCCTTCCACCGATTTTACCAGATTCTGCAATACAAAAATAAAAGACAAAAATGATCGAAATAAAAAGAAATCAAATCGAATTAAACAAAACTTGGTTGGTAACTAAAGTTATCACGAAATATCATCGGCAAGGATGAGAAATGAAAGAATTATCTTCCTAAAAATGAAAACTTTCCGTAAATTGGTCGGATCCTGTCGAAACATCATTGCAATGTTGGCACATTTTAATAAAGTACCGAAGCTGTGACATCATACAAATCTACTTTTGGAATTTCTCAATTTTTTTCTTCATTTTCCGAAAGAGCATAACAAATAATATCCAAAATTAATGTCGAAAACCAATTGAATATGTTAAGTATTGGCTGAGATATGACCATCTGAATAAATAGATTTCCTACAGGAACTCAGTGTTATAGTGCTCTGGCTCGTAATGTTATGAGCCAGAGCAATATAATTCTGATTTCCTATAGGAAATCTTTTTGTAAAAAAATATTAAAAAATAGAGAAATTCCAAAAACATATTTTTGATGACGTCACACTTCACCACTCTATAGGAAACCGCACAAGCATATTTACGACTATTGAAATTGCTTTAGGTCGGTTGTTTTGTAATCGTATTCGTTTAGTTGGTTGACAACATTAGAATTGAATTGCTTACTTGTTGCCTCAGATTTTCGGCTGTTCCACGAATATTTCACCCCATTAGAATTGTCGATCTCATATTGCTCGACTAAAACGCTTGCTGCCACGGCCAAGGCAATCAGAAAGTAGAGAGCAATCAGGGTTTTAGACGCCATTATCAAAGTCTAGGGAATAAAGAATAAACATGAAATACATTTTGACCAGGTTCAAAGCTACGGTGAAATTGCAAGACAATTAAGAATATCAGCATAGAATAGTGACGTACCGAAACTTTCCTTTGACCACTCATCAAGAATGAACAGAAAGCCGAAATCGAACAGTATATAGTTATAACGGAAACTGAAGGAACAAATATTGCGCCAAAAATAACGGGCTTCGAGACGGCAGGCTGGCAGAAAATACGGGAATTGCGGTAAGCTCTGATGAATGCAAGGCGGCAGGCTTCAGAATGTCTACATTCAATCATATTAGGGACTTTTAGATTGAGTGGACGAGAACACGACGAACGCCGACTGATCATGCGTGTCAACGTACTTAACTGCCCATGTTGACTACAATTAGAAATCTTTTAGATTGCACTCGACGATATACAGCCATGCAGGAAGTAACACTATGAACATCACGGACAAAGAAAGACAAAATATACAGATCCTCATTCTACCCTCAACAAAAGAACATCCCTTCACTGCTATTATGTAAAAATGTGTAGAACAGGTGAATATGCATGTGACACCCGTTCTACACATTTTTACATAATAGCAGGGAAGGGATGTTCCTTTGTCTACCTGAGGAACTGTATATTTTATGCACACGCGGCATACTAGTACCTTGAGCATGTAAAGGCGCTATATAAATGTCAATTATGTATGTAATAGATTTATCAAGGTTGACGCATTCTCGATCGTCGACTGACACGACGTAACGCATGCGCAGTGCCTTAAAATGACGTCACACGTTGCAGTCAAAGCTGTCGACGTGCAAATCTAAAAGTCCCTAATCTTCGCTTTCTGAAACCATGGACCTACTAAGAACTGAGAAGGTTTTAAATGCCCTTTGGAAAGATGATATTCCCGGCCCATTTCTGCACTGCTGTCAGCACATGTACTTAACGGCTTTACCCCACCCTCCAGTGGCGTACCTATGGGGGGGGCAGGGGGGGCAGAGTGCCCCCCTGACGGGCTCCAGGGGAAAAAAAGAAAAAGGGGAAAGAAAAGAAAAGAAAGGGAAAGGAAAGAAAAAGAAAAAAGGAAAAGGAAAGAAAAAAGGAAAGAAAGAGAAAAAAGGAAAAAAAGGAAAGAAAAAAGGAAGAAGAAGAGAAAAGGAAGAAAAAGGGAAAAGAAAAGGAAAGGAATAAAAATGGGGGGAAAAAATAAAGAACATGGCCGTAAGCACCAGGGGGGGGGGGGCAGTTGACCCCAGATATTTTGAAATCGTACAGTTTTTTTCCTGAAAATGTAGTGTAGGCCTATACCAAATCCTTCAATTCTACTTTTGAAAATGCAACAGTACCCTCATGACCAGTTCGGTCGCTTGAACTCCCTTCACTCCTTTTGCTTTTGAGATTCTTCGAAAACTTTTAACGCATCTTTCCCCCTTCCCCCATCAGAAAAATATTCCGCATACGGCCCTGAAAAATTGAAACAAATGAAAATAGGAAAATATAAGTGATATAACAAATTTGAAACTCTTCGCTGGCGCGAACTGCTTGCTAGCCTATTTTGTATTAAATGTTTTCACTTCCTCGTCCCCCTGAAAAAAGAAAAGGATTAGTATTGCCTAGAATACAATTGTGCCTGCCCCGACGGGCCCCGACCTGCAACCATGGCAACAATAACACACAATATATGTACATGTACCAAATGTTACTAAAAGAGACTAATTCATTTTTCTTGCTCGCTACACTCGCTCGCGAATAAAATGAATAGACATTGCTTTGGAAACAATTGTGCCCACCCTTGACCTGCAACAATATCATTAAAAGTGGAAGAGTTTTTTGCCCTCTCGCCAAAAAGGAATTGAATCGCGTTAAACGCGATTGCGTCCATCCTGACCTGCACCAATAAAAACAAGTTTATTTATTAATTTCTATTAAAAGAGAATTAATTTTTTTTGCTTGCTCGCTATGCTCGCTCGCCAAAATGGAATTGACACCGCTAACGTGCCCGCCCCAACCTGCAACAACCAGTTAATAATTATGAACGAAACGTTATTCAAAGAAGTTTTGGTGTGCTCGTGCTCGCCAAAACGGAATTAACATCACCTTAGACATGATTGTGTAAGCCCTGCCCTGCAACAAAAAAATCTGAAATTTAAGAACCAATTATCATTACAAAAATATTGCTCGCTCGCTACGCTCGCTCGCCAAAATAGAAATAACACCGCTTTTAATAATCACGTCCCTGACATGGAACAATTAAACCAAGTTTATATACCATATTTTCCCTATAAAGAGAAGTGATTTTTTTTTGCTCGCTCGCTACGCTCGCTCGCCAAAATAGAATTAACACCGCTTTTAATAATCACGTTCCTGACATGGAACAATGAACCCAAGTTTTATGTACCATATTTTCCCTATAAAAGAAAAGTGATTTTTTTTTTCGCTCGCTACGCTCGCTAGCTCGTGGAATTATGTGCCCACCACTAACCTGCTACAATATCATTAAAAAGAGAAATGTAGGGGGTTGCCTGCCCGCCAAAATGGGATTGACATTGCCTTAAACACGATTGTGCCCGCCCCCTACCTGCAACAATGAAACAAATTGTATATAGCAATTCATTGAGAGAAAGATGTATTTTCGCTCGCTAGCTAAAATGGGTATAAAATCACCCTAAACACAATATTGTTCCCGCGCCCTGCATGGGACAATTGAAACAAGTTTAAGTGGCAATTATTAAAAAAGAAGTGATTTTTTTCTTGCTCGCTACACTAGTTTGCAAAAAAATGAAATTAACGTCGCTAACAAGTGAATGTTCCCACCCCCAACTTGCAACAATACCAGTTTATATACCAAACGTTACTTAAAGATTTTTTTTTTGCTCGCTCGCTCGCTCGCCAGAAGTGAAAATTAGCATCGCCTTTTTTTGTTTGTTTCGGTCGCTTGCCCCCCTGACCGAGTACCCCAGGTACGCCACTGCCACCCTCCTTGAGAATACGATGATAAAGATTCAACGCATTGTTTCATTTTCAAAGAATTGAAGCAGAAGAATGTAATGTCTTTAAATCACCAGCATATGGCACGGAAAATATAATGCAATTTAATTTATTGAATGACCTGACAAATGTACTTGACATGCTACCTTGTAACATTACTCGCACTTACTTAAAGCTGATCTCGGTGAGCTCTGGTATGGGACCAAATGGGAGTTGTATTTTGAGAGAAAATTGCTATGATTTACCCTGCAGTAGATTTCCTTCAGATTTTCTTCATATGCTCATTACTCAGCCACTATACATATTCTACACAAATTATTTTTTGACCTGTCATTTAATTGTAATCTTGAACATGCAGTGTTTTAGTTTCGTTCGATTCTGTGAGAATTTATTTTCTATATTTATCAGAACTCAATTGTTTCAAAATCAAGCTTGGGTATGAGCCATTATAATTATGAACATGTTTGTTAAGTAAAATGTACCCGAAATTGGTTTAACATTACCTAGTATAGGTATAAAGTCTGCCCCAACAAAATCGTTTTTTTGTTTACCTCCTATCTGTAAAATTTTACCCAATTTGAAGAAAGGGGTATTCCGACCGGATATTTAGTTGGTTTTGATAAAAGCAGAAACATGAGAGGAACAAGTCAGCGAAATTTGGGGCAAAAACCGATTAAAAATAAGAAAGTTATGAATTTTGAAGATGCGATCAATCACATGTCACCAAATTGGCAACTCAGTGAGGTATGTTGTGAGGTCATCTCCCATTTGCCCACTAGAAAACGTTAAAAGTTTATAAATTCCTGTAAAGAATGTTCAGTCATTCATTCATCCTAAATGTAATTATTGCAAATATGTTTTATACATCCAGAAATGTATGAAACCAATCTATTCTGTCATCAATAACTGAGAAAATGAAAGTATATGCAATTTTCTGTACAGACAAAATTGGAGAGGTAGTCGCAAGATACATTACAGTGTAGCCAATTTGTGTTTTGAGTGATGACAACTTTAGGAAGATAGATGTAGGTCAGTGTGAGTAATGAGTCAGTGTAATAAGTCAGTTTAATGAGGATTAATGCGTTACCAAAGGAGGTCTAGCACCTTTTACTGTTACGAACCCGGGACCTCCTGATTACGAGATCACTGGGCCTTCTCACCCATCAGAGTTGCCAAAGCAAAGTACTAAAAGCCCGCTGCACAATAGGCGAAGAAATGTCTTAAGACACGCAGACCTACGCTCAACAACTGAATTTATACACTAATCATTCCAAATCCAGACTCTCAACTATACCGAAAAACGTTTTACAGTGGCTGCTTCGAAAATGTGGAACAAATAAATACTCCCGTTTCCGTAAGAGAAAGTGCATGGTAATACCACTTTCAAAAGATCCCTTAAAACATACTTCTTCCCTCAGTTTCAGTAATAAAGTATGATTCAATTTTTTATGAGTTTTAAGTTTCCCTCTTCACATTTTGTTACTTTGTAGGCGAAAAGGTACTTTTTGTTTTAGCGCTCCTAGATAATCGATATTATAAAAGCAGGGCTCCCACTTAGCCGAGATGTCGCGAGCAGTTCCAAAATTTTGAACATGTTCAAAAAAATTCCCCGATTCGTTGTAATTCGAGGTGAACTCGCCAACACTCGTAATATTCTCGCATTACTCGTAACAAGCTCGCGCTGCACTCTTCATAACTCGTAGCAACTAGCCACCTTATGAAGAGTGCAGCGCCAGCTTGTTAGGAGTAATGTGAGTATATTACGAGTGTAAGCGAGTTCACCTCGAGTAGCAACGAATTCACCTCGAGTAACAACGAATCGGTGAGAATTTTGAACATGTCCAAAATTTTCGCTTTTTCGGTGTAGCTCGAGGTGAACTTGCTTAACACTCGTAATATACGCGTAGCAACTCGCCACCTTGTGAAGAGTGCAGCGCGAGCTTGTTACAAGTAATGCGTGTATATTACGAGTGTAGGCGAGTTCACCTCGAATTACAACGAATCGGGGAATTTTTTTGGGACAAGATCAAAATTTTGGAACTGCTCGCGACTTCGAGGAGAGTCGTGGAATGTTGTAAAGTGTTACGCTAAGCCATACCGAATTGTTCGCGAGTTGTTGCGAGTGCCTCTTTGAGGCAACTCACCCCAACTCGCCATAATTCGCTAATACAACTCGGCTAAGTGGGAGCCCTGCTTTACAAACTGACGCAATCGGAAAGACGTCTCATGTGCAAAGGCTTAGATGTAAGGGCTAATAGGGCCTACCTGATTTCGATGCGGTGTTCGAGTAGAATTCTG